GCTGGAGGGACCGGCTCTATCGCATCCTTTGCCAGTAGGACTGCGATCTCTGCACGCAAGACAGGAGCATCAGCCGCCTTCACTGATGTGAAGCGGATGCCGCTGAACTTGGGGGGGATGCAACGCGAACTGAATCGCATAGTCGAGTCTGATGGTTCACAGGAGCCAGCGAGACGGTATGGGTAACCAGGTACCCAGACACCACACAAGCTGGACCAGCGGGACCACCGACGCTCTCGAACCACCCGCTGCTGCCTGCTGGCAGGCTGGGGCTCTGCCGCCGGCGGACGGGTGGAGGCAGCAGCTGCCCGCCGGGGGCAAAACGTCGGACCGCCTCAGTCTGCTCCTGTGCAGCCGAGAACTGCTGGGCCATGTTCTCGACTGCGTCGCCGAAAAGGCCGGTCTGGGACACAGGGACCTTGAGGAACTGAACTTTGTCGGCGTCCCTCGTGTCGACCAGACACAAACAGAGGTGACGCTGCTGGACCACAAGTGTGGACATCGCATGACCCAGAGAACTCGCGGTGACCTTCGTCGCTCGGAGCGCGAGATCAGTTGCGGTTCGGAGCTCTTTTAGAACTTCCGGATCGTGACCACCCTCGTGCAGGTCCCTCAGTGCTTTAGCCTGAAGAACCTGCAGTAACGCCGTAGCATGTAAGGCGGAGGCAGCTTCTACACATGCCGTATAAGCATCGCCGGACAGACCAGACGAGTACCAACAGACCCGAGAGGGGAGGCACGGTTCACCCTGCCTGGTGGAGGTGGTATCAGGACACAACTGCATCGCAACCGACCGCTCCACCGGGGGGAATCCCGTATACCCCCTAGCTGCACCACCGTCGAGAGTGGTGTGGGAGGAGGAGTTAGCAAGTTGGTTTCCGGCAGGAAAAGGTGCCATCCACAACCTGGTAAGCCCCTCATGCACCTCTGGGAAGAATGGCACAGGGGCGAGGCGCTGAGAACCAGCGCGGACCACCCCGAAGAACCAATCATCCAACCTTGAGGGCGGCCCAGGAAAGCATAGCCGTTATTTCTGGATCCGATTCAGGCATTGCTACAGTCCCGGAGGACAGCAGCGCATCCAAATCTTCCTCTCCAGAAAGCTCCGGCTCACCCTCCGATGCAGCAATCGACATCCGGTCGTCGGGAGGAGCGCCAACGGATACTGCTGGTATGCTCCTTGTAGAGGGCCCAGCACGTTCCATTGGCAGCTCAACTGGTTGCGGAGTGCAAGAGGAGCGATGGTCCCCCGAGGGTTGGTTCCCTGGAGGGTTTGCCATCACTGTTACCCTCAGACCGCCCGTGCTACTGAAGGCTCCTGAAGTAGCCCCCGCCTGACTACCGCCATGATGAGATCTAGATCGAGGCAGAGGCAACGGAGCTCCGCCCCTTTGAGGAAACGGAGCTTGGCCCGCGACTCCGAGATGATCATCTTCCCGCAATGAGAACATGACTCATCCACAAACACCTCAGCGTGCTAAATGCTCAGGCACGTGAGGCAGCGATCGTGACCATCACCCAGCACCAGGTAACGACCGCATCCAGAAACGCCCGGGTGATACGTTGTCTATAGCAAGACCCACATCGTCTTTACAAAGACGTAACGTCGAGTTTGCCACGCAACGTCGTCTTTAAAAAGACACACCCGTGAATACTCTTTTAGGGAAAAAGCTCTTTTAGCGTGCTGAAGCGCACAGGGGAGATGGCTGCCTGCAACACAAACAGGGGGTAGAGTGCAGCCTGATGTGTGCAACCCACTCGACACGGGAAACCACCACCGCTGAAGCGCCGTACCACCAACACGAAGAGCTCTCAAAGAGCGTGCTGAACTCGTTCAGTCTTCTTCTCTCAGTAGAGTAGTCAGGAGCAGAATGATGTGATCGCTCGGCTCCAAAGCGAAAAGCTGAATATGCGCTGCACCTGCTGCCTACTTATACTCACGCTGTGATCAGCGGCAGCTGGATGCAATAATCACATGCCAATGTGCATTGGCTCGTTTAGTTTACACTCGAAGTAGATTGGTCTCTCTAAGCGAGATCCCAATTCGTCGTCACCGATGTGACGTCGAGAGTGACCGACTGAAAGGGAACTAATATCTCCATTAGATCTCCTGAGCCATGAAAGAGCAATGACTGAGCTTTTATAAAGACCGACAGACAGATGATTACAGACTTTATCACACTTTTTATTTTTGATAGTACATAGAATGTGTAAAAGAGCAATGTACAAAATATCTATACAAAAATATACTTGTAAACATACATAAAGCTTTGGTACCTTAGAGTGTGTAACTTTACTATGTGATATATGTACGGAAATGTGCAATTTAATAAGGTCTTGTGCATACATATGAATGCCTACAGTTAAAATCAAGAAAAAACAAGACGAACAGACAAGATGAAGCCTTTATGAACACCTGTGTTTGGGTTATTAAGTGTTTGCATGAAAATAAAGTTCAATGTAAGTACTTTAACATCGTGTGGATGATATTGAACTAATAATTTGAAGATGAAATGCCTGGGCCGCATGTAAAATTTAATCTCAGTGTAAGACACCTGCCAAGAGCAGGTTAAATGATCTTGAATGTAAAATGCTTTGGATTAAAAACATCAGCTAAATTATGTTTTTCTCTTGTACCATGAGTCATTCAGATATACTTTCTAATGTTCAGTCATTCAGATATACTGTTAGTATGAAGCACACACTGAACAGCTTGATTCTGTAGCTGCACAAAACAAAAACATTGCGTTGTGAATGGTTTCCCACAGAATAAAAAAAAAAAAAAAAAGATAACTGCGACTATCTCACAGTTGTGGCATTTTTACAATTCTGAGTTTTTGTCAAAGCTGCGAGATGTAAATTCTGAGAGAAAAAATCAATTATGTGATGTAAACTCATAATTGTGAAAAAAAAGTCAGAATTGTGATATAAACTTACAATTGCAAAAGAAAAAAGTCGAATTGTGAGATACAAACTCATAATTGCATTAAAAAGTCAGAATTGTGATATAAACTCGCAATTGCAAAAGAAAAAAGTCCAAACTGCGATAAGTAAACTCAGAATTCAGAGAAAAAAAATCTAAATTGCAAGAACTTAAGTCAGAATTCTGAGTTTATATGTTTTTTTTCTCAGAATTGCGTGAAAAAAAAGGATTTTGAGATAAAAAGTCACATTTACATTTATTTTTTTAAAATCAGTGGTGGAAACGGGCTTCCATGGTTCTGTCGTTTCCCTTTACAGAATGTAAAACTAGAAAATGAAATCAAAAATAATCACGTGTATAATCTATTTGCTTCAATTATTCATAAACATTAAAGTGCAAGTTTGCTACAAGAATCTTGACAAAAAAAGTCTGAAGTTAAAATAAAAAGTCACAGACTGCTGTCTGAATATAGAAATGAAATATGCACTTAATTTCAAAAACGCTGAGAATGATTTTAACACAAAAAGTAACCCAACTAATGTACATATCAGCTGATTGTAGCTTTGCTTTCTGATACTGCATTGTACCACTTTAGTAAAAAAGAATACAAGAAAAAAGAATACAAAAACAAAGAAAAACTGGTCTGGTTCAAGCCTCAACCTTCACAGACGGTCTTTAAGAGCACATGAGGGCTCTAGCATATCATTCTGATGCATTTGATAAAAATCTGCTTAAAAGTACATTAAAATTACTTGATGATGACAGGAAGCAGGAGTGTGTCACAGGAAGCTCTCCTCCACCTCTGGACTTCTAGAATGATCTGGCAGCAGCTCCTCGCGCTCAGGTTCGGTGCTCGGGGTTTCCATGGAGACCGTCTCCTCATCAGAACCTAACGAGCTTTAGAAGAGAGATGAAGAACACCTTTAACAACATAACACAATCTCTCACTCGCACTCACTCGCGCACACACACACACACTCACACACACTCACACACACACTCACTCACACACTCACTCACACACACACACACACACACACACACACA